TTTTTGTTTTTGATCCCATATTTCTCTCTCATGAATCAGCAACATGGTTCTTGCCATTTGAAAATAAAAGTATGCATTAAATTATACATAGCATTGTTGATGCTTCGTTGCTTCGACATCTGTATAATTAGTAGCGGGGTGTACAGGAAACATAAAATGACATTTTATGTACACAGACAGATAATTGTGGATCACTTCTAGCAGCCTGCAGTCCTGTTACCTCATGCTTCATGTTATTTGACGTGGTTAGGCACCAGCAGTTAATGGGTCCTAGCTGACTGGTTCCGACACTACAGTTGCCAATAAATCTTCAAAGGATGTTATTAGGATAAAATCTTAACTATATTCCTAGTAATAAGGTACTTTAGATTAGCAAAACTAGTAATTTGAAAATGCTGTCATTTAAAAATGAAATTTCTGTCTTTTCTGCCTTTTAGTACATATTGTATCATCAGACAGCAAAACTATCTTGCTCTGCTTTGTTTTCTGTTTCTCGTAGCACACCAAATGCTGCACCTAGCTGGCAGCTTTTCTGTTGGAAGCAAAAGGGTTTTGCTGAGATTTCGATTTTAGTAAACACAATTCTATTTCTAATAGGTTTATAACATTAATTGGGACCTGTCATACTTGTTAGTGTCTCTTTGAAACATAGCTCTAACAGAGATACAGAACATTGAGAGATAAACTGTGAGGAGCAAGAATTTAATAGCTGCCTTAAGAATTACATCACATAATCACTACAGTTCACATGAAAAGTGTAAAAGGGAATATTTTTATCCCTCTTAAAACACTCATATATAATATAAAGGATTGAGTCTTATCCTACAGACCTGCCACAAACTTTTTTGGACTCAGAGCAGATTTCCTGGGAAAAAAAAAATCTACAAGCCTAGGCTGTTTTAGATACGTTTTGAAACTAAAAATCAAACAAAACAAAACAGAAAAAGAGCCAAAATTACTTATATGACTAGGTTTTTTTATGGATGTGTTTTGTTCAAATTTTTATTAACTTCATGCCAGCTTTTAGACAACCCTCTTCTACATATGTCTGTCCAGGCTAGTTAAGAAATGTTGCTGTATGTTTTACTTCTGTTTTTAGGAGTGGCTTTGGATTTCACTAGTGTACTTTGTTACAGGAGCCCAGATTCTTTGTACAGTGCTGCTGATCAAACCTGGTGCCTGGAGCCGTAGTCTTGCAAGGATCCTCCGAAAACTAGACTTAGAAAAATTCAGTGTGGTTGGAATGAAACACATAAACCTGGAACCAGACATTGCCTTACAACTCCTTTCTTCTGAAGTGAAACAGGTTTGTTACAAAACTGGCAGATCTGTGGCTACGCTTAGGTTTAGAGTGGGGAAATATGTCAGCTTGTGAATAATCCACTCCTGAAAAAAACCCCAAAATTCCCATCTGGGATTTCCGAGTTGTTGTTAGAAGTGAGCTATATGGAACCATCAGATCTGTACCGGTATCAGACACAAAGAAAGCTGACACGCTGATGGTTTCTTTTATTGCATGACATAAAGAAGTGGACCTGGTTTCCCTAAAACAAAAGTTTGGAGGATCTGGGCAATACAGACCTCCCAGGAATTTACAATGCTGACTGTTTCACAGGTGGCCTCTCTTTCTTCCCCAAGGTCATTTCAGGTAGGGTACATCTAAGGAGCCTACCTCACCCCCTGCATGTGTGCCTGGTTTTCCTTCCATGTGTTTAAACCTGGGAGCTGGGAAACATTCATTGCACTCTCAGATAATACATGCCTCTGGAGCCCTGTTACCTTATATTACATTACATATACAGCTGAATTTCTGTTCCAGGAGCATGTGTTCTAGAGTCTGTAAAAATGACCTGTAAAGAGAGGAAATTGAGTTACTGTCATTTCTAATCTCTGATAGACAATAAAGAGGGTTCTTAAATCTTAGGGCATTATGGGGTTTTGTTAGCTAAAAATAGATTTACGTTTCTGCTCTTTTATAGCATTAGAAATTATTTTTTTCCCACCTTGAAATATCCTGAGATGAGTGTAAAGATATTGTGAAAGCCAGGAAACTGAAAGCTGGGCATCTTGGAGGAGTTAGAGTTGTTTATTTCCTTGAAAAAAAACAAAACAAAACAAAATTCTTGTTATTTAATTGCTTTCATGAAGACATTTAACCAATTATCTTTTACAGAAAACAAACCTTTATAATCAGTATTTCTCTTGGGTTAAGCTGGGAGAGTTTGTAGAACTCTTTTGTAGAAATTCTTAGTAGAGTCTTCCAGAAGAAGATAGGAACATGCCAGGACAGTGCTGTAACATAACCATCAATCAGGAGCAATTAATACCTTCTGCATGATAGCAAAGCCATGGAGCACAAGCATCTGATTTTTAAATACTTACAGACCACTGGTAAGAGGGATAGAGTGGCTATTAGAGTTGCTGGGGAAGTGCTTTCCAATACAGTTTTTCTTCATACAGCTAAATACAAAAGTGCTTAGTTGATCATCTGAAACAGAAAACATTTTAAAAATCCCCAAATGTCTACCTCAGGAAGTAATGTAGATATATGCAGGTTAAATTTGAAGAGAGGTTGTTTCATGACAATTTTCTCTTGGTTTTGGAGTTCTCTAACACACTAGAGCAGCTGTTAAGCATTGATTTCGTTTCCTTGAAGAGCTGGTGACTAATGAGTTTAAAAATTACAGACTATTGGGGTTTTGTTCATGGGAAAAAAAGGCAGGTTTTGAAAGTGAGAAAGCAGAGATAATAGACTTCATTTGGCAAGGGGGAATGGACAGTAGGAAATGCTTTCTGCTGTACCAGGGGCTCTTTCTCATTTTTAGAACACATCTGAAAGTCTTTCACTCATGAGGGCTGAAAAAGGCTGAGCTCCCAAGAGAAGGAGGTAGATTTCCAAAAAGCCTCAGCTTGCTTCAGGGACTGGGATATTTTGAAATCTGGCTTGTGAGTGTTGCAGTGGCAGCTGGTGGGGTCAGAACTATTTTTCACAGCTGAATTTCATATAAAGCATTTGAACTGGAGCAATATTCATTGTTGATCTATTTCTCAGTTTAGGGGACAACGGGATACGATGCTGTTTTTAAAATTAGTTCATAATATGGAGGCAGATTGCTGAAATTTAGCATCTCCTGTCGAAGAAAGTGGAGCCAGTGTGTCTGACCCTTCTAGAAATTCTGTCCAGGGCTTTTTATCTCCTTCTCACCTGGAGCCTGATCCAAAATCTGTCTCAAAAAATCTCTAGAAAACTCCCATGTGCTCTGTGATATGCCAGTTTGTTTCGTGTACATAGTACGTGATAGCAGATTTGGGTTTTATTCACTGGTAGCAAGACCACCTAGCATCTCCTTTCTCCTTCTAATGTATTATTTACATGCACATTGACAAATATTCTCAGCAACATGATTTCAGGTACATGATTGCTTTTTCAACTTAAATACTAACATTCAGCTTTTAAGTAGCGAGTGGCCTTTGACATACAATAAATAATGGATTGGTCTGCTGTTTGCTAATGTTATCTAATCACAGGAGCCATGATAATACTTTTTATCTGAAGTTTAATATTAATTGAAAAAAAATAAAGCTTAGGTAAATAGAGCTGACATTGTCATTTCGGCTCTTGGCATGACCTGATCGTGTTCAGACTGTGAGAAGCGACTGCTCGCAGAGGGAGTTCTGCCCGTGGCGGCTATATCTCCTTTCTGTGCTTAGCCAGCAGATCCAGCCTTGCAGAGATTTGCAGTGCTGGCTGCTAGCTAGAAAGCTTGATTTTTACAGTGGGACCTGATCATTCTCTTGGGGATTACCTGATATGATTGCCTGCCATAGCAGGTCACTGGACTCAATAACTTGACAGATTCCCTCCAGTCCTGTCTTGTGCTTCTAACGATAGAGGCAGAAGGACAATTTTGCTGCCTTTTAATCCCGTTAGTCCTCCAGAGCCAGTGCACAGCTGGAACTTCCTCTCCGTGTGCATCGACAAAATTGCTCGCTGAATTCAAGTCAGCTGCACATGTGCAATCTTGTCGCAGCTGCTCGGGTATCAGCGAGGACATGGTTTGAAGACGGTGCGGAGGCAGGATGTAAATAAAGGCATCATTTGGCTGGCAGAGTCTACAGCAGATGCGAGGATCTATCAGAAGGAAAGAAGTCACCTTGACTCACTGACACTGTCGGTAGCAATTAGAAACAATGTCGTCTTTAACCCAAAGTCTGCATATTTGCTGGGGAACAACTGAAAAACAGGAAACAGAGACAAAACAGTTTTCTTATGTAGATCTAAAAGCACCGTTTAGAAGCTCTGGAACAAAACAATTTTATTTATTACGGTCTGTTTAACAGAAACTATGTCTTTGAACATTTTCTTTTGCAGATGTTTCTGACATGGATGAATGTTGATATGTTACAGCCAGTCCTTTTGAAAGTTTTCATGAAGTCGTCATCATTGTTTTTCATGTCCCAAAGAGAAGGCCCTTAGAAAAGTGGATTATGTACATATTTTTTAAACTAACAAAAATTTTCAGACAAAAAGGGTTTATTTTGTATTATACAGAACTGAATGAATGTCAAAATTTTGCCGTATACTATGATGTATTGAAACTCTTCATCCTCATCTAAGCAGAGCTCTCTTAGCACAGGAGAGCCCATGAAACTTTACTGTACATTTTGCATGTGCAGTCATGTGCTGTGACTGACATCCCAGCATTTCCTTTGCCCTCGATTTCTGTGGGGTGGGAGGATTGACAAATATCACAACTTACTTCAAATCCCTTATGTAACGAGCCAATTTAAGAATCGGGGAGCTTTCTTATGGATCATTTTGCATTTTCAAATACAGGGAAGAATATCAGAACTGAGCCCATGGTTTTCAATTTATAGCCTACCTCTTAGAAATGCAGTTTAGGAGGAATGCAAGTGAGAGAAGATTTGGGTCAAAGTCAGTGAATGGTTTCATATGGTAGAAAAGCAGAAGAGGCCTTGAAGTATTTTATCTTCATATTTTTAAATGAAATGATAGGATTTACTTTTGGAAATGTTTTATCTAGAGAATTGCCATACTCTGGTTCTTTTAGAAGATTAAAAAAGAGAGGAATTAAAACCTTTAGGGGGCTGAATGATGTGATTCAACTGAATCAAACAGTGGTTTTCACCCTTGTTTTCATTTCCTCAAAAATTGGAAAAAAGTAAATAACCATGGGTTAGTTCAGCCAGCGAGCTGAAAATGCTGTTGTTTGTAGGCTGTACGGAATATACAGCGCTGGCACAGAGCTTCTCTGCGGCACGGATGTGGCTGCACTGTGGGGCGCAGGGAGGCAGAGCCGGGGGCGCAGGGAGGCAGAGCTGGGTGCTCCTGCCCCTTTATTAAGATGAAGGGGGCAGGAGGAAGCATCCTGCAGCTGCTATGGGCACCCTGACCTCGCGCTCAGTGGAGACATCTGCAATAAGCCTGGCTTTCCAAGGTTTTGCTTAATTAAAAGTCAGCCAGGTTCTGAGTGCTCTGCTGCCCCTTGGTAGCCTTCTGCCCCAGGCACTTGCTACCTTTCCCTGTGCTTCTCAATTATGTCTGTCTCTGGCTTACAAATCAGACTCTTCTCACTGGTGCAGTGGTTGCTAGCTATCATTACCATTCACCCTTAGTTAAAATAAAGATCTTAGAGTGTTGTGACCTTCACAGCTACAAGAGGAACATCTCTGCTCAGGAGTGGTCACAGCTTGGAAAAGAGGTAAAGGTAGAGAAATCATCAGGGGCAAAACCAGGAGGGCGAACTGTTTTCTTCCAGCCCCAATCTACTGCCCTGTTTGGAGCTGCCTTCTTTTAAGCTTGCCGTTTCTGTAGTCCTGATTCTAACTGGTGTATGAAATTCTACCACCTTCTGGGAGAAGCAGGGCTCTAGCAGCAGGGTGCGTGTGGGGGTCCCTGCTTTCAGGAATTCAAAAAAAAAAGTTCTGGTACTTGTAATCCATCATTTTATATCAGCTGAAGAATTAAATGTGCCTCTGATCCCAGAGCACGTATGACTCTGTTGATATTGCTAATGTCCATTGCTTCCACCCTATCCGTGTGTCACACTGAAGGTAAAATGAAAAGGGTATTACATAAATCAAAGGTTCAGTAGTAGGCAACTAATCTGCAAAGTAGTAATTCGGTTTTGTCCTTACCCCCTGAAAATGAACTCCACCTCCGGTACCTAGTGTGTACAAATATGCAGAACAAGTCCCACCACAAGGCTTTTCTGTCTTTTAGAAATAGGATTTTGTTTCCTTTCTTACTAAAGGATTTAGGAAGTTACTGCTGAAGTTGTTTGTATGTGTAAAAACTACCATTTGCTGATCTGTGACCATGGGGACTAAAACCACAAGCTGCTATGGCTTAAGCTCAGTGCCTAACTTTTTCTTTAGCCCTGTGTGGACTCAGGGTGGGAACTAGGCCTCCTATTACCTGGTGGATGTCACAGCAAATACTGGCTTGGTATATACTCTGGCCATGGTATATACACTGGAAGCTCTGCCTGCAGAGACCACTAACACGTATATTACAAAGAGGAGAGAAAGCAAGGAGTAACGGCAGACCTGCTTCCCTCAAACAGGGATGGGTCTAGCCAAAGAAAAGCTGGGACGTACCCAGCGCTCACCAACACTGTTCATTATAACCTGTTACATCTCTGTTCTTTCTTTTCAGGATCCTGCTGGTTTAGAAGCTCATTGTACCTACCTTACCTCAGGCACTGCTCTTGTGCTGTGTCTTCAGAGGCCAAATGCTGTGAAGAAGCTGATAGATTTACTGGGGCCAGAGGATCCTAAACTAGCCCAAGCACTAGATCCATTCCTCTGGAGGGCTCAGTATGGCATCAGCACAGTCCGGAATGGATTTTACGGTAGGTTTTTGTGAAAGAAAAGTCCAAAGGCTCAGATATGCCAATGGCAAAAATGTTATGTACTGTTACCTCCTGCGTTGTCAATGCAGATCTAGCCTTGGCAGGCAGCAGAGACCGTTATTCCTTAGAAAGCTTTCATTGTTTTCTTGGTGGCTGAGCTGAGTATGTCTCAAGCTACGAAATATTCTCCCAGAAGATATATTTAAAAAGAGGTTTCTTCCCAGAACAGCCCTTGATCTGTCTTCCATCAGAACAGATTTCCTTTGATCTCTTCACTGCTTGGTCATTTTGTACTTTTAGCTTGGTTATTTTGTAATTATCCCCAAGAACCCATCTGTCTTCTATCTGCTTGAGTCCCCTCCTGGTACCTTCATAACCCATTGGCCAACTGCAACCGGATTTCACAGAGGGATAAAAGACTCTAAGATACTGAGTTCCTGTAACATCTCAAAACATTAATGACTGACTGGAGAGAGAGGTGATCAAAAATTACTCTCGCTGAGGAAAGCAGGTAAACTCAGCTGTTTTCCATTTGAAGATGCTTTTGCCAGCTGGCACATCAGCAAAGGCACACCGGCTAGTCAGCATCCTCGGTGTGCTGAACCAGTCACTGTTCATCTGCCAGCAGGGAGGGAACTAGGATGTTGCAGTGTCTATGGTGGGTGGGATGGGAGATAGCCGAAAGTGTGGGTGAAGGATGGGAAAATGAGAAGTATTGCTGGAGAGAGTGGCTTGTGTAGAACCAAGGGTATTGCTCAAGGGGGCCTGGCCTATTGCCACAAGGAGGGAAGGATGTAATTCAAATATTCGTAAGGAATTAAGTATCATTAGTTCACTGCCCGTGAATAGTGTTTTTCCTCAGTGTGGTACTCATTGTGCTATATGTAGTTAAAGGAATATAAAAATAATAAAAGCAATAATTTCTGTAAATGCAGATGAGCTAGCAGGCACTGTATGGCTTTAAGTTCTGGAAGAACTTTCCTGTCAGGATGCATTGGATTATTTGGCTCTTTCTGTTGTATTCTGTGCTGTCAAATCACTCTTTTCGTCCATATCAAGTGGTCTTTTGAGGAGAACTGGTAGGGAATGAAGTAGCCACCATGTACAGCTTGGGGATGAGAATCAAGCCCTTGATGTAGAACCCATTTTTATCACATATGATCATAATCCTTAGGACCAAGAGTAAATCGAGAGAGATCTCTCACTATGATTACTCACAGGATCTTATTCATGGGAGTGACTGAAGAGCAGTATCTACTTACATGAAAGAAATGGTCAGGGCTCTTCACCCAATACTTTTCCACTATCAGCCCCTGCTTCTTTTGCTCTTAAGATTAATGGATCGTGTATCCAGATTGCCTTGAGAATGAGAACGCATCAGTCACAGCTAAGAATGCATAATATATACCCAAAACTTAAGATACCCGTGCTACAGTTAGAGCATCCCTAGCATAACTCAGTTAAAGGTCAGTTTATATTTGCAAGAGAGGATGAGTCTCATCCTGTCTTTTGCTGGGAGTCACAGAGAGCTCACTGCGTTAGAGAAACCCTCGGATGTCTGCTTAGGGATTCCCCTCAGACCCCTGCTTCCTTCTAAGACTGGGCTGAGCACAGAGCTGAACTAGCTGGCCACCACTGGCCCTCTGAGACCAGATTGTGCGCTCTGTTGGAGCCAGCTATATGGCTGGCTCACAAAGCCGTCCTTGCACACATTCAAGGAAAATGTATGCAACTGAAGCTTATGTACTCATGACCTCTGACTGAAGAACCTGATCCAGCTGCTATGCCAGGGAAGTGTCTGTCCACAAGGAAAGGAGTGTTCATAACCCCTTGCACATCCAACAGCTTGTCCTCCGACAAGGGTGAAACATTTATCTACAAGTCAAGCAGGAAGAGCTTAATTATTGCATGAGTAATCATTTGGGGGACTGTGGAAGACCATCTTCCTTCCCTAGGAGGGAATACTAAGCTTTCTCAGTTTTGCTCCAGCTGAAGATCTCTAGTTAACGCCATCTTGCTGAAGCAGAGCAAACTCTAGCTGTGTGTTTCCTCCCAAAATGACTGGGAAATTCAATTAAGATGAAGACCGGGTTCCAGTGATAACCATTGAACCAAGTGATGCAGTTTTTAATACTCTGAGGCTCAGCTGCAGAGGTGAATGTGCACTCCTGTCATTGCTTTGGGGTCTTAGGAAGTCATTGTATAGTGCTTTTTCTTGAACCCAAAGAGCTCTTACGCATGCATCTTACACAGTCTTATACCTTGAGCAAAGTGAGAGTAAAATGTCGCTAGCTTTGGGAGCATTTGTGTCCTCTGTAATGGCATCAATGATTTAAACAAGGAAGATTTGTCATAGAGGTACATAAAGGATCCAGTATAATTTATACACTGGTGACTTTTGCAATCTTAGGATTGTAAATGGCTGCGTTAAGGACTCTGGCAATACAATATCTAGAATTATGAAGTTCAAACAAGGCTGAGTGCTCAAGAGTGGTAAGCCATGATTCTTTGAATGGGTAGCCTGCAAAGGTGGTAATATTTCAGGGGATATTTGTGTTTTGTGTGTTTGTATCCCAGGAGCATGGATCTGTGCCAGCACATTGACAATCTATCTGAACTCCAGTTATATAGAAATAGCTTTTCCTTCTCTAAGATTTTCCACCCACAAATCTCAAAACATTCTGAGTAGTACTTTATAACATTGTTGCTTTATAAGGAGATATTAAGATGCTAAGCCTGGAGGGACCTCTGAAGTCACTGAGTTCAGTTAATTCTCTCACAGACAACTCCATCATGTATTTGCTTTCATAAGCATCCACCCCAATTGGATGGTTGTTACAGAACTTCACTGCTCTGATAGCTGGAAATCTTCTTACATTTTCGAACTTAAATACAGTGTCATACAGTTTTATTTCCATTTGTTCTTGTGCCAATACCTGTACTTTAATTTTAAGTAGTTCTTTTTTCTTCTCTGACCTTTTCTACCCTGATGCGTTTATCAGAAATCAGATTTCTTCTCAGCTTTGTGTCATGTTGGTCAAACAAGCCAAGGTCTTTTAGTTTTAACTCTTCAGATGATTCTCCATTCCTTCCGTGATCCTCATGTTATTCCTCTGTACCTGTTCCAGTTTCAATTTACCTTTCCTTGACAGTAGGTGAACAGAAAAATATACTGCTATTAGCAAGATCTCTTGCTAATTCTGATCTCTGCTGTAAATCAGACCCCCTAGCGTATTTGGGACTTGCATTATTGTTACTAAACACATTTGTTTCACTAACCAGTAGCTCCTTCCCATTCAGTAAGACCAGCCTGATGTGATCCAGAAGCAAGGGAACAACAATGGGTGATTGGAGCTGGTTTCACAGGCTCCTTAACACAATTCCCTTGACTACACTGTTAGGAAATAGAAGGAGTCTTGTTTACATGAAAAAGCAGCTGAGCGATAATAGGACAGAATCAAAATACCAAGAAGTCAATGGAACTATTCTAAATATAATGGTTTTAAATGTTTGCTATTACTGTACAGAACAGCTGGCCTTTAAAGCAATTACTTCAGTAAGTTGCACATCATCAATCTCTCAGAAAGATGAGTGTGAGTCTAGAGAATGTTTAATTCATGGCCTGAGAGAATCTTCTCATTGTATTTATCTCTCAGGCTCCAAATCCTATCAAATAGCTGTCCGGGATATGAAGCTGTTTTTCCCAGAAGGGCTGTGCTGCGCCGAGTGTCAGACATTAGAGGAGGAAGAGGTAGGATCCTGCCCTTTCCTGAGAAGTATCCTGCTGTGTCAGAGCAATGGCTTTGGCCCTGCTATCCCATGACTTCTTTCCTATTATGCTTTAGATAATGCTTTTTTTTTTTTTTTTTGCTGTGTTTCACCAGCCACCGAGTTTTTCTTCTCCTGTGGATGTTCCTACCACAATGTGCTGACTTTGTATTGACCCAGATGATCTCAGTGGAAAAGTGCTTTTTCAGATATGTTTGTTTGGTAACCTGTGCTGTAAATTCAGGAGGGCTCAGGGCTCATACTTTAGAAGCAAAGTTCCCAGATAGAGACAACATTGCTCTGGAAGCTGGTCACAGGGAGGGACAGCACCGTCATGAATGATTGCTAAGACACAGTTGGTCCAGAGGCTGGCTTTTTACCAGCTTTTCTCATGTAGCGTTCAGGAATGGAGATGAAGTGGGATGGCTGATAATGTAAATCTCTGGTTGCCAAATGCCTCCCACGGAGTCTGTATACATCCACACGCTCACAGCGTGGAGCACTGCCCTATTTGTGTGACAAGGGTGTTGTCCCTTGTGCCCTGCCAGCAGAGGTACCAGTCCACAGCAATGAAAAGGGTGGAGCTGTCTTGTGTAAGACATCTCACACTATGAAGCACAGGCACTGTTTACAGAGCTGCTGGGTGCCTGGATCCTTCCTTGCCCGCAGATAGAGGCATAAAGACTCGGACTCTTGCCTCTTGGCTTGCCTTGTAGGCAGTGCCGAGAAGCTTACCAGTACTGATGTGGCCCGCTCCTGCTTATCTTGGCCCTTCATGCTGGTCTCCGATTCAAACCACTGTGATCTGCCAATGGCTAAAATGGAACAAGAAGTCTTTCTTGTTCAACTAGTTTTGTATGTCATTTCCACTCTAATCGTTTTCTTCGCAAAACCAGAGTTTGAAATGATTGGATTATGCCCAACGAAGGGATGGAAATTCTTGAGCCTTGCTATGTCCACATGGCACAGAAGTGACCCAGCTGAGTTAGTCCAAGCAGATTAGCTCTGGAACTGGAAGCAGCCGGCCACATCCGTAATATACTTCACTAATGTGGATGCTGTCCCTCTGCAACTCAGCCCAGAGCATCATGGCTGTGCTGTGCTGGGACACATGGATGTGCCAGTTCATTCAGAGACACAAGGGAGCTGCTACACACCAGTGTGGCACTGGATAAAGATGTCAGACACTCACAGTCCTTGAGTTTCTGCCCTTGGAAAGGTGGGAGCAGGGACCTTAGAAAGATGTCTGGATACAGGACCTTTAAAAGGATGCCGTACTGAATTAAGCCCCAATAAAAAAAAAAATCCATGCATTTTGCATGCATCTGTAGACAAGCAGGTGTTTTCTAGGCTGGCAATTACAGAAGTACACAACACCAACAAAAGCTTCACAGCTTGCCTGAGTCAATACTTAAGAAGTGTTATCCTTCCTGATGAGGAAATGGTGTTCATGTGACTTGCTTCTCTCTCCCTCCCTTCCCTCCTGCAGATCTATAACCTGAAACGTGACCCCATAGTCAGTTTGGAAATCAGCAAGCAGCGCAAGATCATAAAATGTGAAACAGGAGGGCAACTCGATTTATTGGGCTCTGAGCAACCATGCAATCTTGGTAAGGAAATGCGTAACTCTTGTTATAGATTGAGGCTGTTATTGATTAATTGGACAGCGAGACAAACCATCTGGTGGCAGCAAGATTTGTTATTGATGTCCTTTCCAAAGGGAGAGACGACTCTGAGCTGCAAAGAACAGCTCCAGTGGAGTCCAGCCATTTAACCGTTCACCTGCCAGGCCTTTCCACTGCCAGTGCTTTCACAGGTTTAAATATAGGGCTGTTCCGAAGTGCTGACCTTATCACCAGCAGAAGAACACATGCTGTCAACATAGCTAGTGTAAGCAACAGTGCACATTTCTCTGCTGAACTTTTACAATGCGTTTCAACACCAACTTGACCACGGTGGTTTTCACGTCCATTCAAAGCCTGCCACAGGAGAGGCCAAGACACCATAGAGATGGGCAATGGTGAGACCTTTCGTTCTGTGAGCAGATAAATAACAATTTATGCAGGGTGTGCTTTTGGCAGTGTGGACATCTAACTCTCAGGAACTAGACTGAGATCTCGTTCAGTTCCCACTAACTGCTGAACAGCTGCCAGCTCAAAATGATTTCCAGTTATCGCTGGTCTGACTTTGATTTGAAGTTGAAGCTTCAGCAAGCCTGTTGGTTCCCTCAGATGCCTACAGTTTCTCTGGGCCTCTGCTGTTGATTTTACTCGATAGGCATGTATACTACCCAGACTGTGATGCAGCACCATTTATGTCAGGAGATGTAACTAACACATGGAGATGCTTCCAGGTTGGGATATTGTGGGTCGATCCCAAGCATTTATAAACAAGCAGTAATCATGTAAAGCATCCCTGTGGTGTTCACTGGGGAACAGACTTGTTTGGAACTGGGTCATTCTCGTTCCTCTAGCTTCAGTACTGATGTCACTAGCAAGCAGAAGGGTGCACAGCTGACAAAACGTTCCTGTGCCACACCTGATTGCTGCAGTTGTTAATCCCAGCAGTAAAACCACAAGATTGTTGTGGGCCGACAGAGGAGTATGATAAAAATGCTACAGAATTACAGACCATCGCATCCCACCTTAAACCCTTACTGGTACAGGAGTTTTGGGTATTGAGCCCATACCAGCAGGTGCATGAGACAGCACACGTAGAAGTGCAAGGAGAGGCTGGTGGTTAAGTCGAGGCCTTTGCCTTAATGATAGCATAGCTGCTTGGTAGGCACCAAGTCACTTTTGTGTAGGGGGTCTCTGAAGGAGGATTTTTGCCAAGGTACTCATCAATGAATTCTCTCCACTGTCTTATGTTGGCTTTGGGCTACGCCCTACGCATGCTTCGTGATCATTACAAAAATCACAAATCCTCAGGCAAGCTCCTTTTCTTACGTTGCACACTAATATATCAGAGACTGACTGGGTGAAGGTTTAAAACTTAACTGACACCTGTGGTGAGGGGTGAGGCCTATCTCGCAAAACGTTCCCGAGCCGTTGTGTGAGTCCTGAAACAAGAGCTTGGCAACTGTGTATGTAACTGCAGCTTTTTTGGGATGACTAGGCTGTTCTGTATGTAGCTGTCTGACCTTGTCGTGTGGGCAGCTGCAGAGATGTGATCACCTTGTTATATTTCTGGTGGGGTATTGTCAGCTCAAGTTGTGTTCAGAGCACAAAGCTGCAGTGAGAGGGGACTTGCAGGTGGTCCCAGTCCAAAATACTTTGTAGTGCTGTTACTGACCAGTGGGGTGTTTCCCCCATCAACCTACTGCCCGATGGGAAAGGACCAGGCCTGTAGCACAGGTCTGCTGTGACTGAAGCGCTTCTTGATTTTTTAGAAGACATTGCAGAAAATAAAATAAAATTTTTTCAAAAAATAGCTTGTTTTGTAGAGAGCACAGGTATTCTGCAAGCTTTGTACAGCCCAGTGTTGGGAGCAGATCTCAAAATACGTGCCCCTGATTTCCTGCTGCATGAGGATCTCTTCGCTTTGAAGATGTCTAAGCAGAGTAAAAAGGAAACCAGTGTACAGCCCTGATGTGTTTATGTCTCAGAAAATGTATTTCAAAGAGTTACTGTCCTGGAAAAGCAAGTACACGTGATCTCTGAACTGTCAGGCACAATACAGCAGGCGCCTCCAGCAAGCCAGACGCATCCTTCACTCTCTGGTCTCGCCGTGAGCACTAGAGGGAGCTCTTGCACACAAAGAAGCCTCTCCTCTCAGCAGGTCATTATCCCGAAGCTGCTGCCTGATGGACAGACAGATTTATCATGAGGAAAATATGAAATACATTAAGTCTTATATACGCTGATCAGAATTACATTTTTGGATTATAAAAGCAGCTGGATTAACAGATTTCTTTGCTTGGAAGAAATTAAATGGAATAGTATCTCCTGTAGCAAACCAGCAGTTGTCCTTGTCTGACTCCTGAAATGGGGTCACTACTGCTGTCTTGTGATCTCCGGATACGTACGCATAGGCATACAGCAGTTTGACAGTTCAGGATGAGCAATTGCGTCTGTGAACATCCCAAACGATATAACGATGCTTGAGTGCTTCTGATCTTCCAGTTACTTGTCTGTGGCAGGGAAGAATTACTTAGAGGGCTAACAGTTGTGGGGGTAGATATAAAACAAGCGTCTGTTGTGTTTTGATCTTTTCCCATCAGATCGGCCGTTGCTTGATAACCTCTGCCAAACTACTTGCCTCGTATTGCCTGGGATAATCCTTCGGGGTTCAGAGCGCCCACCTTATGTCGAACTGCTTGATCAGCTTATTGGCAAAGATTTCATAGTGACTGGAGTACGTCTCACTGTCCTGGATGCACCACAAGCTCACTGCATCTCTGAGACACTAAGCAGGGCAAAGTGCAGTGTTGCAACAAAGGTATGAAACAGCTGGAGTTACGCTTTGCTTCCTTTGCACAAAAGAGGAGCCTTTTAATGCCGTGCTGTGCTGAGATATCCAGGCTAGCTCGGAGCAAACTTGCTTTGGTAGCAGTATTAGCACAGCACTGCATCTGAGCTCTAACACCAATGGTAAGTAATGTGGGCAACATAGCTTGCTAGCTAGTCCCTAGCTTGTGTTCCTGTATCTCTGCTAACACCTCACCTTGGCATCATTACATGTGAACGTATCCTTAATGTGAATGGCACATCCCCGTTAAACATTTTATTCCCTTCACCTATCGGTGCGCAGTTGCTGCTATTATGTATGTTCTACTGCTGTATCCTGTCTTGTTTTTCCATATAAATTCAGTTCCTATTTCCCTTTCTCTAATCGCACCCCATTAATCCTCTTCTACAATGCTAAATAACCCTTCCACTTTTTGGACTGTGCCCTGGAGTCCTAGGCCAAGATTTCATTTTGCTTCTCCTTTAGTTGGTGCTGACAGCTCAAGCTGCAGTCCAGCATGGGATTTCAGCAAGTGGTGACGGGGCTTAAGCACTAGATGTGCTTCTGGGGTGAGCAGATACATTGCTTTACATCAGCAGAGTATCTGGCCCAGACTGTTCTCCTCTTTGGTGCAGAAGGTCACCATTTCAGGAACCTTACTGGGGCAAAGCAGTAAGGTGGAATGTGCAAGAAAGTGCTGGCAGGAGTGCAGAGTAAACAAGGAGGCAAACTACTTTTACTGGAAGTAGCAGTCAACAAAGGGCTGTCAGAGGCACGCAGCAGTCCCTCTGAAAAAATACAGACAAACATTTGTGCTTCCAGCCTTTCAGTTATAAGCGTCTTGGCTGTTATCTGTAATAAGAACAGGTAGGATCTTTTCAGGTTGTGATTTTTTAAACTGACAGCATCCCTTTGAAGTACATCTGTATAGAATAGCAATTACATCTAGCATCCAATTAGTCTAAGCACTACTTTCTTCTCCTGCGGTTCCCCTGAGGATGCCATCCCTCTGCACATGGGAATGTGCACAGCTCTCTAGGAAGGGCAAAGCGAATCAGTGTGTAGGAAGGAGAGCCATGGCAGCAGCACTGCTCTCCTGGTGATGGAAACATTTCCTCCTGTCAGAGATGAATTACTCTGGGCAGAGCTGGCATATTTCCAGAAGGGTCTGGCACTGCTGAGCCAAAGGTGAACATTACAGCATTTGCTTTCCCTTGCCAGAAGGGAGATGGACTCCTTCAAGTAATAAGTGTTTCTGCTACAATATCTCAACATTTGCAGTTATCTCTGTACTCCTGCTTCTAGCAGACCTAGTGGCTGAATAACGCACCTAAGTTAACCTGCTTATTTTCACTCCAAGAGAAGGGAACAGGAATAATAGTATGCTATAGGAGCGGGATAACTAACAGTTCAAATGTGATACTCTTTCAATTTGAAAGAGTCTGTTGCTTTGTGGCTTTCATCCCCTCGCACAGCACACAAGCAGTTATCCGTGCTGTCAGCGGTTCATCAGGGAGGCTTACAGACTTATTTAAGTGGATAGCAACACCAAAGCTCTGTTCCTCCCTCTCTTGTAGCGTTCCCTCCTAATGGATGGTTTGTGTCTGGTGCTAGCGGCACAGCGAGACAATGCGGTCATTTGCTTCGACTCCCTGCTGGACAGGTAAGTGAGGACAATATCGCCTTAACAACACTGTCTCAACCCCCTGCTAGAGAGCTTGTGATCTGAAGGAGGGCAGCTGACTTTCTTCTCTGTAATTAATTTCCAGTTCAGACTCCCATGGGATCAGGTGCCACTCAAAGGCAACCTGTTCTTCCTAAGTTATGTTGTTAACGTGGCAACACCTCAGAGCATTCCCGAGTTTCAAAGTCCTGTGTCCTTTACTCAGGACCTTAAATACACTGAGTTGTGTTGTTTGTTAAGGGCTTGGGGTGTCTGTGAAGCTTGGCAGCATGGTTCCACGAATACAGGGAATTCTCTGAAATAAGGGCACACATTGGGAATAGACCTGCTGAATCAATAAAATTCCTAGGAGAAATATCTTAGCAGATTCTATGTTTGCTATGAAAAAAAATACTTAAAACGCCAGAGAGCAAAATCAAAAATTAGCCTCCTAAATAAATCACCAGAAATGCTGGGTAGAGGCTGTATAAGCCTGGTAAAACAAACAGAACCCCTCTACAGGGACTGATTAGTGAAATAGAATGATTATCAGGCTAATTAACCCACTGTTCCCCAGAGGGAAAGTTTCCTTGCACAGGGGCTGGTATTTGGCAATGCGATGTGTAGTTCATGCACATGGTTTCCTCTGGCAAGGGAAGCCAAGAGGGTCTTTTTTCTAGTGCATTCGGTATAGAGCAGTGCAGCAGCCACCCCGATAAGACTGTGGTGACTTTGGCTATACCATCTGGAGGACTTCCAGGTAACGCTGTCAATGAAACAGGAATAAGGAATTCAAGGGTGGTGGAGTTTACAAGCATCAAGGGGATCAAATCTGAACATCCAAGTTGGTAGACACCTTGGAGTTCTCGTGCTTTGATGAAATGTTACGGTGCTCAGTCACAAGGCCACACCTGGGAAGAATAGTTGAAACAAATTTCATCAGTAACTTTTCAGAAATGTTTTTAAGCTAATAACAAAATGTACATTGCTCCCATTCATTTAAAATCACACCCATGGGAGCCACATCCCACACCTTTCACCCTGGAAGTTACAGCTTTAAGGGGAAGCAAAGAGCAAGTTACCCAAGACCTTTCTAGGGAGTTTTCTCTGA